TTTTTTATCAAAGCATTTTCCTTGCACTCATAAACCCAAGAAGTGTAAGAAATGTATAAGATAAATATGCAATACCGAATTTATTGGCGTAAACATCGTTCCGAAGTTCCTTATTTTCCTTTTTTATTCGTTAAAGAAGCCAGGTTTTCAAGCCTTGTCATCAATTTATTTTTAAAATGTTCATCAGCATGTCCGCAAGCTGTATTTCTGAACTTTCGGGATATCGATGAAAATATTTCATAGTTTGTGAAAAGCGATACATTTCAGACCAACAAGCATTGAAAATTCCTGCACTAAAATAATCAGTAAATAGACACACTCGATATAGAAAGAGAATGCAGTTGACAATTCGACATATGGGGGCTAAGATTTGGTTTGACGCAAAAAATTAGTTTCTTTACTCTCCATAGGCATTAGCTTATTGCAGCTAACTTAAAGTCAGTCTAAAATAAAGGGTGTCGTATTAAAAGATGCGCATTTAATATAGTTATAGTGTACTGGATCGTGTAAAAAACTTGAGAACAAATCTGAGTCCAAGTACAGTCATGATAAATTTATGGTTTAATTTCATATCAAAATTGGTTTGCGTTCAGTCGCCATTTCATGCATTACTTGGGTGATGATTGAAAATTTTCCTGGATTCCAGATTCCGATAAATATTTTTCTAATTTAGCTAAAATTTGTTTCCCGTGATTCACTTTTCTAAGGTCATTGATGTAAGGGGCGATTCTGCTCAGAATTGTCTTTCGCTTTTCCGCTTCCGTCAAGTCCAGCATTTTTTGCAACACGTAATTGGCAAACTGGTCTCGCATCATGATGTAAAGAGGACTTTGCTTCGGGTCATCAACGTCTGATGCATAGCCACAAACTTCGTCCAGGAACTGGCTCCTCTCGAAATCCGTCGAATACTCGATACACTTTTCCATGACGTTCGAAGCAAACTTGTGTTGAGACAGACTCAGAAGTTTGCCCCTTGCAAACGCGACGAGTCGGGTTCTGTCGTCCAGGCTGCCGTGTTCGAGCATGTGTTGGGCGACGTAGTTGCCAAAGGGGTCCACGACGAGTCGGTCCAGGTCCACGGACAGTTCTGTCACCAATGGTCGGACTTGACGGGACGAACAGTGTTCGAGGATCCTTTGAATCACTCTGCAGCCGTAGGGATGCATGCTGAGAAACGTTGCTTGTCCCCGGAATGCGTCGACGATGAATTGTTTCGTGGCGGGTTCGGCGAATTCCACGCATTTCTGGATCACGTGGTTCCCGTTCTGGTCCTTGACGGATTCGATGACGTGGTCGTGCAATTCTTGAATCAGAATTTTGGCAGTGTCTGAGGGGACGGTTTCCAGCGCCTTTTGAACTACTCTGCAGCCGTACGTTTGCATCGAGAGTTGCAGGACATTTCCCTTCATCTGAATGAAAAAAAATAATACATATATAATGTATATATGAAGCATTTAGATTTTTTTTTACGTTCCGTTATTTTGAAGATTGACAGACATACTTTGAATCCGGTTACTTATTTGCAGTTCGGTCTCAAAGCCACTGACGAAGAAAAATAAGAAAGAAACCGTTGAAAATACTTCGTTTCAATTATTGTGCAGGAAGTCCTCAATGTAAAATAATCCTCAATGCATATAAATATTTGCATAACATACTGCTTTATCAACTGAACTAATAACTTTCACATGACGATTTTTTCTGGATAACAAAATTCGAAGAACAAAGAAGCATGGATGCCAGCGAATTATGACTCAGGCGTTCGAAATGTTTCCGAATAAGGCTATCGAAAGCAATTTTAAAATAAACATAAAAAATTCTGGCATCGTCAAAGTACAAAAAAGTTTTGAAAACCAGTTTTTGTCGATTGTGGATATTAATATAATGTCGGATACTTTTTCGTCGCTAATGCGTCAAGTGAAAACAGTGGAAAATGAGAGATTGTTTTTGCGAAATTTTTGCTTAATTTGCCAATAGAATGTTTCGATTAATTCAATAAAAAAAATTCTGAAAGAAGGTTCTGTATTCTGTATATATTCGGATTTTCATACGTGAAAATGTATCAGATTTTTCATCGTGTCATCTCTTCTCTGTCTTTTTTTTCCCGTCTACTTGTTTCCGAGGAAAGTATTTTTGAAATATGTTATCAAAGCAGAAATATTGAAATCAGTATTATTCTACAACTGACTTCGGTTACTGAAATTCTCACAATCTTCGTTACCAAGGCCGCAAAAAGCTGTGAATGATCTTCTTTTTTTTTGGCAATGAGAGGAACGAAGATTACTGGAAAACTCTCACGTTTTAATGTTTACCTTTCCAGCAAGAACTGTTCGCTGGTCTGGGGAACCAAATTCTAAGAGTTTCTGGATCACGTAGTTGCCGAAAACATCAGTCATCAGTTTCTCCGATTCCGGCAAGATTTCTGAGAAAATGGCTTCTCTGTCAAGAGGTGTGCAACGTTGCAGGTGTTGCTGGATCATTCTTGAGCCATGCTGACTGTAAGCCATCTCTGCCAAGTGATTCGACATCTTTTGCAAGTTGAAGATCTCCGCTTGTTGCTTCCTGAGATGGAATCATCATTCCCGAATACAAATTCATTTAAATGTCAGCATACATTCCTGTTGACTATTTTTGCGAAAATTTTTACGAACCGACTGTCGAACGGAGAATTTTCTGACGCCCGAGGCGAAGATTTGATCCACGATGTCGGCTGCTCAGGTTGGGGTTTCGCAGCTGCTACTGCAAACGGGGCAAAATTTGCGGGAACCAGGGTTGGATCGGTATTTATGCCAGCATATCGTGAGATCAGTTCTGCGAATGAGAGCATTCCGTGACTGGAATTCGAGCCATTGCCGTTGGGAAAATATCGCGGAGGAACCAGGGAATCCACACGGTGCTGTAATTTTTGGAAGTGTAGCAGCGACATCGTTGCGTCGCTATGATCAAACAAACGCAAAGGCTCCAAATAACTGCAGTAAGGTGTCGGAGGATGTAGAGAAACGGGGCTTTGAGGAGTACCTGAAAATTTGAAATCGAATCATACTGTGAATAATTCAATCACTTTTTCGGTTGGTCATTTCGAAACAGTATTTCTCAATGGGAAACCCACCAAAGCTAAGCCAAAACCAGACGAAAAATCAACTCTTTGCCCTTATAGCTCGAGCTCAGATGATCGAAGGGATTCTTTTGAAAATTAGCAATAAATTGATATAAAAATATGACTCTCACCTAATTTTTTTTTTAATTTAAGGCAGTTTTCACTTTATGTCAAACCGGCTTCCCTAAAACTTGATAAAGCATATGTCACCTCAATCATCAACCTGGCCGAGGATGATTTGCCAGGGCATAAACTTTTTAGAAGGACATAGTCTAAATTTAAAATTTAAATCACGGGTTCCTCCATAAACCCCCTCCGCATATATATGACATGATATAGTTGGTGATTTTACGTCAAAGATAAAAAAAAATAGACATTGCTTTAATTGTAATAAATCTTCCAGGTTTAATCCTGTCTCTATAACTATAGTTTGGAGTGAGGTTGGATACGATGAGCTGCTGAAATTTAGAATCCGAATCCTGCTCTGAAATTTCAAGTGAAATTTGACATTGATCATGTTTCGCGAATATGCGGCGATAATCATGTATCGGATGTTCGAAAATTTGAAACTAGAAAATACGTACAACAGAAAACTAGTTCAACCAGCAGTTGTAATCCATGTAAAAAAATTTTGATTACAAAAATAAGCTGATAAAAATACGTCCTTGCTGACAAAGAATTTTTCAGGCCCCAGCAGTTTAGTCAAATTATCTTTTTTTGTAATTAGTTTCAGCCATTACGGATTTTGCAAGATTTCACGAAATTATAATTACCACCTCATCCTCTCTATTAAAAAAAAAAGATTGGTACATGCATCAAAAGGAAACTTCTATGTATATAGAAGCAGAGTAAAATGTTTCAACTTTCCAGTGACTCATTTTTACATAATTGAATAAGTTGAACGGAAGGGGAATGTGATGAACCAAATGTTTGCATACAACTCATACATCTCATCCTCCAGCATGATTGCAAATTCTGGATTTCCACCTGAAAGAATCCGATTTCGGAGCTTTTTTTTTAACAATTCAATTTCCCAGCATGATGATGCACATTTTAGAAATGCGTCACTGCGGAAAATAGCACTTCGCACGGATAGCAATTGAATGCATTTGCTAATCTTATTCTCTCGGCTGAGTGCGTGATACTCTGCCAAAAATAACTTCTAACATGTAAAGCATACTTGTGCATGAAAGCTCTGTACAAACCAGGCGGAATGATGTGAAGAGGAAATCCTTGATTATGCGCCGCTTCCGCTAAAAGCTCGTTCCTGACACCGTCAACTTCGCAAAAATAATCCGAAAACCTTCGCAGAACAACAGCAACAACAAGAAAAAACACTACAAATTAATTAAATGAAGCATGAGGACGATTTCGTCCCTCGGCAACGCCGAAATATATATAAGCACAAGCACTTGTTGTATAATCACCCTTCGCACACGCCTGCTGACGATGACGACAATAAAGGACTCTTATTGGCCACGAACGACGGTCCATTATTGTTTTGATTACCGCTCATTATCGACACCGCCATTATGGGATCGAGTCCCAGAGATCCGTAAATGGTTCCAACAGGTGGTGCTGGAGACACTGTTTGTGATTGATTCGGGTCATCAAACTGGAATCCAGGTCGAATTCCGCAGAATGGGTTCGTTCTTGCTGCTACTTGTTGACCCAATAGCAGGGTTTGGGGTTGTTGGTTGAGGATCAACTGGTGCATCTGATCTTGGGGAACAACTGGAAGGATCCCTGTCGTCATTCCCAGATGGAGTCGCAACGCCTGAAAATTTC